TACGGTCCTTCCACGGATTCAATCTCATTATTTATTGGTTAGTTTTAATTTTTTATTTTATTCCAGTCGTATCACCAAGGTATAACTTATCGTACATCCACAAAAATAATTCGGTTTTTGTACTAGAAATACCAATAACCCTGTACACCCTCCTTCTCGTTTTAAGGCTCAAATATGGGAGAGAAAAATAACTTGTATGATGTACTTGGTCTAGAACTACACTTAATATATACGGTATCAGCTCAATCCGTTTAGTATTTCGGACGAGAAGTGGTAATAAGCACACACCCATCCCGGCAAACTTATAATATTAGTAGGATAAACTATTATAATTTGTGCCTATATATGCATACTTTTTTCAAAATAAGTATAATTCTCTTTAAACGATAATATTCACATCGAAATGTGGTACCTATTTTAAGACACCGAATAAATTGTGTCATTAAAATAAAAAGTAGGTCGATACAGTACTATAAGTAATATTAATAATTATTACCGTATTATATTATACACGCTACTGCAATACACATATTATAATCATATTATATGTTTGAGTTGACTTTTTTTTTTCTAGGTTATTCGCAATGTTTTTTTCTAGGCAATCTTATTTAAATGATGTATAGCCCGAGGACACGACGTGCATAACGTGTGTAGACAGAACATAGATATACTATAGGTAGATATAGTTAAAAGTATAGACTGCAGATACTTTGCAGATCAGTCGCTGTATTATAATAACGAACGATTTGACAATAATATCGCTTTACAATGATATATTTTTTTCTGATATAAAACACGATACGCGTCATTCGTTATAAACATTAAAAAACAAATAATAATAATAATAATAATACATGTTATATTATAATTTCTCTAAACCGCAATTTCGTATTGCAAATTTGCCTGCACGTATCTAATATTATATTTTACATCGTTTTCACATCTGTATGAGTATAATATATTATATTGTATTCGTACCATTAATATAAATAATGTATTATTTATACAATATTACAAAAATTTACATTGTATAATATTTTTCGAGTGTATGAATAAAATATATATATATTTTTTTTCTGTATACTTATATATATATAAGAAATGAGAAACTGATTATTCATCTACGCGCAATTTCTGATAAAAATTCCGATAGTATTCCGTATGTCGTTCGTCGTGTGATTAATCGCGAACGTACTTATATTATATAAAATATAATTTTTGTTCCGTCATTATATTGTTGTGGCATGCGCCGAGGCTTGGAAGTTAGGGTCTATATATCTTCCACGCCTCCATTGCCTCAAAAATATAAAAACTATATTATGAGTATATTTATTTGTTAATTTAATCTTAAAATCAATACATATTGCAGCCGAGTCACGTAAGGAAAAGATTGATTTATTGAATACGAGTTGACGCTTCTGCCGAATCCGGCTTTTAAAGTCCCGCCAATGGCCGGGTTAGGTGCATACAAAAAATATTCCACGATTTACTCGAGCGAATTTATTATTTACTATTCGAATTTATCCCTACCGTTGAAAATTCTCGGATTGACAAGAAAAATCAGACGAAAAGCTGTACGAATATTGTCGGTCGAGAATATATGTAATAATATATTAATTCATCACATTATATACGTTATATACGTAGTAAGTTTACGGACAAAATTTCGCGCAGTGTAAAAACGTAAAAACGAATAATTTAATTATATTGGGTGCAGTTAAATACGTCATTACATTGACTACAACAAAAAAAACAAACAAAAACATACGATATTATTATAGGTTACCCACAAATAATATCACTGTGTTGTTATACAACTTAAATACTCAAGGAAAAATGTGTTTTGAAAAAAAAAAAATTTTAAAATCCAAGTACCTGTAGTATATACAAAGTGTCTTAACGTGTTCTACGAATTTGTATTAACTAAAGCGTGTAAAAAGATATTGATTTACTATTTATCGATCGTAGAATTCTGGATCTGGAATATTTTCAATCATATATTGGTTTAACTTCAAATTTCTATAATTTAAATTGTGAAGGGCTTGTTTTTTTTTACGTTGTAAGTAGATGAAATTATGGGTACGCTAATTGTCGAAAACAAACCTTTAAAGATTAAACAAATGTTGGACCGACCTCCACTCGCATAGGTTATTTAAGTTTTTATTAAGTACATGCTCGAGACGTTCAAATTTCGTTACTTAATGTTTACACCTCTAATGTAATTATTTATATAAATTAATTTATCATTAATCAAACGTGTTCTTATACTAAACTATGGTGCAATCTAAATCAAGGGTGGACTGGGATAATATTTCAGACCGAGAATATTTATTTATTTTTAGCCAACTCTAAAAGTTTTGTATTCATTTTATTTTGGCATCTCGAAAATTCCATACAAAGTTTAGGATAATATGTTGTTTTTACACATTCTATAGGTTTTTATAAGCAAATCGTTCTTTATCAGTATTTATTTTTATTCAGGCCTTGAAAACAAATGCATTATTATAGGCTTGGCCAACGGAATTCCTCCTGCAGCGTCTCATCGAGTCAGTCCACCTCTGCAAATCTACACTATTAGAAAAATGAAATTTGGGATTTGATTTCATCATTTATATTAGTATATACTATAGTGACGGACACTTGCAAATAATTTATACTATCGATAGTTTGTACGAACTATCGAATGTTTCATTCTAATAGTTTTTAAATAGTTTCTATATTGTGCCCAACACTATTACATCTATATAGGTGTATAAAGGTAATGTTTACAAATAAATGTCCTATTGTTTTTTTGTTGCGTGTCACGTGTAAAAGGTCATGGTCATGAACGATTAGCGTGATTTTCAAAATTTATTTCATCGTTTACGCAGTGTATAGGTAGGTAATCGTTAAAATAGGTTAGGTTAGCCGTTAAATTTCCAATATTATGAATGATAACCGATTTTCAGGCTCGCCGAATAAATTAGTGAGTATATCGCGCCAAGCAATTTATTTTTTAAATTGTTCATTTATTATAATAGGTAGTTGTTCGGAATACACGAGTACTCGTATAAGGGTTTTGTAATACAATAATTTCACGTCACCTAACTTCACCAAATGACAAAAAGCAATTTTCAAGCGTACGATTATTTTTGTAGTATTTCGAGAGAAAAAGAATTGCGAAGACCAAATTATACATAGTTTTTCAATACGACAATAAAGACAATACGGTCGATAATTTAATGATTTTTTTTTTTTATTATTATTTTTTTTTTTTGTGCTTACATTATATTCTATATAAAACCGCATAAGTACTTGCTCACAAACACTTAAAATATTTTACTCCATTTTATATAGAGAGGTCTCGCAGATTTAGTGTACAATATTTTATTATACATTACGTACTTAGTAACGGCAAAATAGAACTACCTATCTTTATAACTCTCTACGATTTTAAATATTTAAATTGAGTTTATTTTCATATTCTCGACACTATTCTGGGCTAGAACTGCGCATTTTCGTAGTAAGCCGTTTCGAAAAATATATTATAAGGTTTCTCTATACCCGTTTGATATTATGCAGGGGTTATCGAAGTTTTATAACAATTATTTGCTTCTATAATAACAAAACGAAAACGATTTTCGGGGTTCGGATTTTCGAACAAAATATTACCTTTGAAATATTATCGTTAGTTCGATAGTTATATAGTATGTAATCTTCTAAACAATTCATATTAAATAAGTTTATTATTAGTTATAAGGTTATAACAACACATAATATAATACTATACATTTTATTTGATGCCAAAAGTCTTTCGAATCGTTCACGCCATACATTAAAAGATTTTCGACTGGCAGTTCATTATTCGAAAAACTTTTAACAGATTTTCTAAAAAAATTAAAAAACTGACGATATATCGGTCGTAAGTTTCTCGGTTATCGATTGCAGGTTACAAAAAATGACTAATCTGGTACAACTTTATACAGCCGTTTATCGAGCTCCACTCGGAATCATTTTTTAAACGAAATGATCTGTCGTTATTTTCAGTATTAAAAACTAAATCACTACCTATATACACGCTTTTCCAAATTACTGCTCCCAACAGCGGTCTGAGTCCATGGTGCGAGGAATGTCCGGTTTTCTTTTTAATATACAATTTTAATTTTTGTACAATTGTACAAATCTCGATTTAAAATTTGTTTTTTTTTTTTTTAATTTTAACCGTCTTATATTAACCGAATATAACTGTATAGCATATTGTATAAAGTTCAAAAAAGTTTAAATGTATATTCGAAGTGATCGAGAAAACCATTTTATGTTTTTGTTACTTTTTTCGAGGTATACATCTAACTGTTAACTAACTACAGATAATTTAATATATGATCGTTATAGTTTACTATATACTATTAGTATTATATACTATTTACTATATACTATATATATTACTAGATAACTTAAAAAATTAAAAAATTATTATGCGCTTTAGAAAAACCGTGAAAATGCAGTGTGAGAAAGATTATACACGATATATTACGAGTAAAAGTTTAAAATTGAATTCTTACACGGTTCTATACTCAAAATCGAAGTAATAATTATCGTGTTCAAATTTAAAATAATAATATATCATTATTATGCGATATTATGTTAACGTGTGTTTTGTTTTTCTTGTCTATGGCTATATGGTCATTAGCCGGACAAAATTACATTGTGAAAGTGTTATGTTCTTTTTTTGTTCGTTTATGTCGAGTGTATAGCGACGAAGCTATTTTACATTAAATTTACATATTATTATAATATTATCATTATGTAATTTATGTTGTTTTCTATTCCGTATATTTCCGTTAAAAAAATAATAGACGGAAAATTGTTTTTCGTGTCGAGGGCTTTAAAGAGATGTTTTTTTTTTAGGGAGAGAGGGAGTTGGCTAATCGAAAATTGATTATCACTATGTAAACTATATATAGATATTATGGAGTAGGTATTGTGAATCACGAATAATTAACGGAAACAGTTCGCAATGTATATTGCTGGCACCTACAGAAAAGCTAATTAAAATATGAGAGTATCTATACGATGTGACCTATCTACACGACTATACCCAAACAGCTACTTCAAAAATCTGAGATACATTGATTATTTGTTATTTAAAATACTCATTCGAGTTTAACGGCATCAAACGGACTACTTGACACTTCGATATGAATTTTTTCTCGATACGTACACATTTAACAAACGTTGGGGAATTGAATATTTCGGAATAGAGTACGTGGAGCAAGAGTTATTTCAACGAGAAAAGTGACCATGGTATAAGTATTATGCCCAATAAGCCGGTAAAATTAGAATTATTTTTACAATAACAAAACTTAGTCTGTAAGTAGATACCTAATAAATAAAAAGCACACTTTGATGGACTGAACAACTTATAAATGTATGAACTTTAAACATATTAAAATATGCTCATTGTTCAATAGTGCTAGAACATCAAAATATATACAAAAATATTAACGAATTATTTAAGTATCTAGTATCTAGGAGATTTGCACAAAATAAAAATAAATTTGCTCGTCTGACTTCATTTATTATAGATTTAATCTGAAAATATGTTTTTATTTATTCAAATTGTTATTATTATTATTATTTTTTTTTTTTTTGTGTGTGTAATAATACCTATCCCTTGTATGACATAATTCCATTTTAAATAATATAATATGACGAAAATAACTTTAATACATTGAATATATTTTTATATACCAAAAATAAAATCTGAAAATAAAAAAGTGCGAATATATACATTTTTCTTATGTATTGTAAAGGGTATAAAATAAATTTCTATTCTACTCATCATCATGAGTACAGCCATACGTCTCTGTCGTTTGCCATGTTCCTCAACTGTAAACATATATGATGTGAGATGGGCTGTTTTAAATCTTGAAAGTATGATGAAGTTTTTGATGATTTAATTCTTCTCTTCAAAATCTTTCCTTCAAAGATATCAGTAATGGTTAAAGTATTATATATAATTAATAGCGTTTTATTAGTTTCGTTTTTCCTTCAATATTTGTTTTATTAAATTCCATTTTTCTCTTACGTCCTTTCACACAATCTCGTTTGACTTTAATTCAACCCATTATGTTTTTCTCTATCCTATTCCTTTATTAATAACATACAATATTGATTACCACCATGTCATAAATAAAACATAATATCAATACTTTGTACCTATAGGAAAATTATTGAAGAGGTGCCTGTCCTGTTATATTATTTGGCAGTCGTAGTATATTATACTAAAAATAATTTGGTTTTAGCGCATTGTTTCTCGCTGTTTTTTTGGTAATTTATTCGAGTAGGCGGGCTCTTATAGGCTATAGGTAGGTAGATAATATTGGCATAATAACAGGCTTTCGGTGGTCGAAATAATCGATTTGTCGGTCACGGGAGGGCTATGGAATGGACCGGGCTGAGTTGTTGTTGTTCAATTGTTGCCAGAAAAGAAAAGTCGTTTGCTGAGATTGTGGCTGTAAATTCGCGGTGGGTGTGACGTCACACGTTCACGGTCGACAAGCTTCACTCTGCTGCTGAAGCCGCTAGCACACGTGCGTTTATTTGTTTTCTGCACACCGAAGCAAGTAATGTGTATGTTCGTTCCATGAACTACCTACTTTCATTGCAGGTAATGGAAATCATTTTTTTTTCTCTTCTTCTGATATATAGAATGAGACAAAGCAAATGAAATCTGCAGTTTTTCACATCCGTCGTTGTGTAAGCGATTTAAATTTAAAAAGAAAAAGATTCGTTATTTCGGAAGAATAACATGTCTCAAAATAGTCTAACAATCGTGAGTGTAATAAGATAATATTATAATATAAGTGTAATTAATTCAAATAATAGACGAAATTTTAATTCGTTTTAGTTCTATCATAATGTCATTTTAATATTCAGACCACTTTTTGATTGATATTAGCCTCAATTTTAATTTTTTGTTTTACGTTAAGGTTAATGGGAGGTACCTAAAATATCTATACAGTAATTCACGGATATTTTTGCAAAGTGTTTTCTTTCTCTTTTGGCATGTAAACAACAATTTTGCATTTTTAATATTACTTATAAGAAGACCGTAGGAAGCCATGTCTAATAATCACTTAAGGAAAATTCTCGTGAAAACTGAGAAAATTCAAAAATAAAAAAACCATTATAAAACAACATTTCGGTATAATAAATTTATATACGCGTACTGAGGTTATTACATCAAGTCGTTGTATTAATCATTACATTTTTTTTTTTGTCAACTCATAAAATTGCGAAAATAACTTGTTAAAATTAGATTTCTGCACGTTGACGTACTTTGGGATGCGAATATACGTAAACCTTAGTAATCAAGGTGAGGCGATTTTAAAACCGTTTTAATTTAGTAACGAACAGACAATTTATATTTGTATGTATTTTTAGATTAGGAATAGTTATTTTTCGACATTTAACCTTACTGTACAATATACACACATATACCTATATATTTACTTACATATTATATTTGAATACTTATCGATCTCAATAGTTACTTACCATTTATACTATATTTTAGTAACCTATTGAAATCGTTTAAGACGTTTTTACTTCGTGATATTTTTGTTTCCATGATTCCGACATCAAATGATTTCCATTTTATTGAGAACGAAACTCAAATATCGGTTGTGAATTTGTATTTATATTAGTCATTAAATCATTTGTAAACATTAAAAAATCGCTAGTCCCGCTCAATTGTGATTAACTATTTTCGGTAAAATGTATAAATTGTACTCGTATATAATATTATTGGATAAGTATTATAATATTATAATAATATTTTAGATTTTGAAGGCATTTAGAAGTATATTTGGTTTTTCAGTTTTCATAATAATTGGGAAACGCAATGTAACCGAATGCATTACTTTCAATACGTAGAGAAGAGAAGCTGGAATATCCGAAATCTTGTCTGAATCCCTGTACAACACATCAAACTTGATTTCATTTATTATTGATTCTAAATTAATCAACCATTTGTAATTATATTATGTTAGTCTCTAATTGTATGTAGGTTTAGTTCATCCAATGGCTAAAGCTAACGAGTCTTTATTATTTAATAAAAAAAAAATAATAATAATAATTAGGTAAACATAAAGAGAAAAATAGACAAAGCCATGGTAATAACTAATATCAGTTTCATTATTTTTGATTTTATTTTATTTTTTTTGTTTTTTTAGGGGGGGGGGGGTTAAAAATAATTTCAAGATCTGAGAAAATACTTATATTAGCGCTTTTTAGTTGTAACTTTTTAAGTTATTTAAACATTTTTCAACATGTTTAGTTTTTAATTGAATTAAATTGTTTTGCCTAATCATAAATTTCTCAAAATTTAACACGAGTTCATCACAAGTTGTACTTGGTGATTAAAAAAAAAATGTAGTGATAATTTGTATAAACATTTTAAATTCAAATTTTACGAAAACCGTAAAAACCACGACATTTCAAAACACGTTTAACTGAACTTCGCTCAGAATCGTCGCGTACAGATTTAAATCAAATAACTCAAATAATGTATTCTAATTGGCTATCTTCCTAATCTCTATGTATATGTATTATTAGTTATTAAACAAGAAAGTAATTTTAAGCTTATTTTTCACTATTTATCATATTTGTATTATTGTTTCAATAAGATGGATCCAATAAAATTATCAATTTGTAATCAAAACGTTTCACAATTAATATAATATTCAAAGTATATAATAGTAATATTATAAAACTATTGGCGAGTTCTCATTGAATGTCGCGGACATTGATTTGAAATCGTTATTCTTACAAGATACAGTTGTTTAATTGAATTCACTTGATTAATATTAAAAGAAAAAAAAAATATTTAATTTTGATTTATTCCAAGGAATAGCCGTTATTTCGTCCGGAGAACAGCTTATTAGTCTAAAGCATACAGACTAAAATTAACTGTTATTTATTTATTCGGACTGTAAACGCGGGAGGATATATTTACCAATGTCACGAAGTGTTTTTGTTCCGTATTTACCTGCCGTAATATACTATCTACACCTGAATACATTTTAATTCCCACAGGTTGTACAAAAGAAATTCTACGGGGTAGAACATTACGAATACTCGTAATTACGTTTTTTATTTCGTTGATTTTATGTCCAATTATCTAGTCGGCATTGCGTTGGCACGATGAATTTAATTTCGAGTCATATATTTTAGATTCTGAGCAAAGCAAGTCAGTATTGGTTTTAAATATCATGTTTTTTTTTTTGTGTCTGTAAACAATTTTTTTACCAGACGTCTTGCTCCAATCAAAAATTATACAGCAAGAAACTTTCTTGTAATATACATTTTTATCCATAGTTAGTTATAGTTGGGTAATTTTTTGATTTTCCTTGTAGTTTTCTTAATAAATAGCAAAAAATTGATAATTTTTTTTTACGTTTTTATTGATTTTTGAGTTACATTGGCGACAAAGAAAATAACACGACTGTAATAATACACTGCTCAGAATCGTTTTTCGTAAGCAGTGGTTTATCGTCGCGTGTAGATATAAATTGAATAACTCTATATTATAATTTCCCTTCCATATTTCCACCTTAATTAACGAAACACAAACATCAGTTATATCAGTCTTTTGTTTTATTTATATATTTTTGTCCGTTTTCGGGATTTAATCGAGTTTCGAATTAGTTATCTTATAATTCCTTTTAATATTAGGTATATAAATTACGTTTATATTTAAAATACTTAATATGGATAAAAAAAAATAATATAAGTAACGTATTTTACTTACAAATAACAAATGTACTTTTTTTTGTATAGATTCTGAGCAAAAAAGCTGTAGGTATACTTATTATTTTTATGACTATAATGTGCTATTTTTTCTCGAAAGCGCTTTCTCGATTAGTGATAATGCTCAGACTTATTCATATAATTATTTTAAACATGCGTGTTTTTCGATCGGTGGTATTTAATTTAAAATAGATTTTCAAAATACCCGACAGTTTTTCTAGAAAAAAAAAAAAAAATACACTGACAACTAACGACGATACATCGATTTCCACGGGCGTACAAAGGGTGACAAAAGCACCTATACAACAATGCAGCCTAGGATTTTTTTTTATATTTGTTTATTGCATATACATATATAATATATTTTGTATCATCTTTTACTTTTCTTTTTTTTTTAACTATGTATCTATAGTCACTGTCCAGCTTTGTAGAAACAAAATCTCACTGTCACTGCGCACTTATTGGTATAAGTGCGCCATCTGATGTTAAATAATAAAAAAAAAAAACGAACGTCTCTGCAGCGATGATTATTCATTGTTAAAATATTTACAAATAATATTTTCAAGTCCGTGGGTTTCGAACTCAGGGGAATATAATAACGCATATAAACATGACCGGAAATGTGAGAACACGTAAAAAAAAAAAATCGCGACCTATTACTATACTATTGAATAGGATTTTTATTATTACTATAGTACGGTGGACGAATAGGTATACCGAAGTATATAATTCACGTCATTAGCTCGAAAACAACATATAATTGTTTAACGTCAATAATACGCAGCTTGTTAGACGCCGGGTTATTATTTTTTCATGTACACAAGTATATAATGTACAATATCTATACGTACCTACCGCTTACCACATGCCCGGTATACGCAGTCATCGCCATCAACACTTTTCAGTGTAAGCACCTCTAAACTAAACATACAGGGTGGTTGATTTATTTTCACAATCCAGCGATTTTCTCGGTGAATTTTATGTGAACTCGATTTCTGCTGTTTCAACCATTATGGAGTCGTTAACGCTTTATTTTACTCAAAACCATTCTCTAAGCTGATATAACGCGTTATCGGTCTTCAAAAATGACGTTTTTTTATGACAGTTAAGCAATGTACACTGGACCAACGTATAATAAAATTTACTATCAATATTATAACAGTGGACAGGGACACTTATCGATTCTACCGAGACTACCCGTTTTTTAATTAGGTTTTACACCGATTCCGACGGCTACTGTAAAAAATTGTAGAAAACAGCCGTAATTCTAAACTGTGTTAATATTCTTAGTATACTTATGCAAACTAATACAATTTCAAAGTTATAACAATTAGGTAAAATGTGTAATTTATATACACGATTTTTTTTCATATAAATGTTATAATGTCAGTATGTATACAAGTAAAATAATAATGCAATATAATAAAAATGTTCAACTACTTTTGGTTTCAATCATTTTTTTTTTTTTTATAAATGTTATAATGTCAGTATGTATAGTAAAAACTTAACCTAACCTACTTTTGGTAATATTTGGACACATGTTTTAAATAAGTGCACTTGGAAATTAAATTACCATTCAAATCATTTGATACATTTTCGATAATTTTTGTTTTTTTTTATTGAAAGCTGTATTTTTACTGTTTTTTTTTTCAAAATTTATTCCATTGATAATTATTATGTAACTGGTCAGTTTGTATATTTGTATTTAAAATATGTGTAAGTATAAAAATGTTGGGATAAGCTTTCGTAAATTGAATATTTAATTTTGAGTGGAAAGACTCACAACTATTAGTAGTACGTTCTAATATTATTTCTCTTGGTGCCTAAATGTTTATTTTGAATTTTACTCTTTCGACGATGCGTATATTTTAACAGTAGCCGGCGGAATCGATACACGCTTGTGGACAGTGGTTTGTTTTGAACGCTCCTAGATCCCCAATATTAAAGGTTAACATTATTTTCAGATCCATACCCTGTTTATCATACTTTTAATTAGGATAATATGTACTTAGAGCATTAAGTATCAAATTTACTGTTTACAAGTGATAACAATTAAAAATTTAAAGAAGGTTCATTGATTTAAGATTGGTTCAATTTAAGTTGATTTTAATCTGTTACGAGTTCATATCAACATTTGTCGAAAAATATTAGGTATCTTTTATTCGAATCTGTATTGATTAGGATAGGAGAGATGGGGTTTTCAATTTGAAAATATTACGTGTAAAAAGTGTATCGTACCTATATCGGTAAGGTTTGAGGATAATACAGGTTTTTATTATTATTAACAGGTTTAAGGACAATATTAGGATAAAGATTTGAAAATAGCCTGGAAACGATTGCGAAAAACGAAAAAGGCCGAAATTAAATTGGCCTAACTCCGAGATGATCGCCGGATCGTGATAAATGAACCCAATCTGTACAGTGTGTGCACAGCGCACGTAGATAATAATATTATTATCACCCACACGCCGATCGACAAAACGACCTGCCGGTATCGCTGACGGCTATTATTAATAATATATTCTCGTCGACGTGATTGTCTGCTGTTCGGAATAGATATTTTTTGGGTCCGGTTAGGTTTTTATTTTATTATTATTATTATTTTTTTGTTCTTTTCATTATTACAAACAATACAATGCGCATAATAACATTATACATAGCGTTATTTTCTCTTCTCCGTCATCGTCGATCTATATACTATCTATTTAGTATGAAATTGATTTAGATTCGTTATTACTTGTCCGTTCGTCAGACAGAATTTATTCGACTTTATTCTAATAACGCTAATTTCAAATTTGTACACCTAATTTAACTAATATTCGATCATTTGTGTCTGTTTTTATTAATTACATTAAAACATTTATTACATTTATTATCTAGGAAAAATTTAAAAAAATGGAAAAATGTACTGGGATAACGGTTTTATTATTTTTAATTTTTTCTAGTCTAATTGAAATATAGTCACTAAATTCAAGGATACCATCTAATCTGGATAATTTATTTATCTAGTTGGTCTATAAGTAATTTGTTTAAATTTTTAAAAAAATGCATATAATTTCAAAATATATGGGCTATTTTTGAGCTATTTATAGGAATTTGACATTTTTGAATTTTTTTTTTCGAGTTTTGTTTTAGTTTTATGTGGATAAAACTGTTTTGGCCGATCCGAAATGCTTGGAAATTTTACAAGAGGTCTGCTATAGAATTGTATTTAATGTTTCAAAAAAAAAAAATGTGAGCGTCATGTAGTCATTTTTTTTACAAGCATTCAAAATCACGGAATTTTAAAACGTGATTAACTGCGAACTACAGCAAGAAGTAAGGATCGTATTTCGTTAGCAATGATTTATCGCGTTGCATACAGGTATAAATTAAATAACTTAATATATCCCGTACCTTCTCAACTTCCCACCTACGACAATGTTACGCCCCCGTTTATTTATTTTTTTTTTGATTTAAAGTGCATTTAAGTGCTTTTTTCACCGCCGTCGATTCCGCCCTATAACAGCTATAGGTATCAATAGATGGAGCATAAGTAGGTATACGTGTAATTTTGTTTTGGCACATATTTTTCGTGTTTGCTTAAAAATATTATAAAAATATAGGTACATAATACCTACCGATATTATTATAAACTCAAAAAATATTATACGTCCACATTTCCGTACGTGGGCCCGTCGTCGGGTTAGAATTTATTACGTGTCGTATAATATACATATATATATACGACACGACGTCTTGCACACACGCAAACATTATGTACACACCTCTATTTCAGAAAATATTAATAATATTATACAGTGTTATAGTATCGATATACGCTCCGAAATAGGAAAGATAAAAAATATTAATAACACCGACATACTATTATAATAACGAAACGATTTTGTTTTAACGTTTATTATTATAATATTCACAGGAGGCTAGACGTAAGCAGGACAAACGTCAAACAAATAATAACAGTAATGAAAATAAGTTTGAACATTGAAAATGGCTAGTTGAAAAAAAAAATTAATCAAGTTTCAAATATCTGCAATTTAAAAAAATTAAAATATTGCTAATTTTTTTTTTCGTTGTTCTTTCTCGCTCTAAACTATGACGGATTAATTTTTCGGAAGGAGAAAATATGTTTGATTTACCGGTAATATTTGAATAGTAGAGTTACCAAAATATCAACAGAAAAACTCCTACTTTAAGCACCATCCATCCGGTGTGACATATTTTACTTTTATTATCTTTTCGCGATATATCACGATAGTGAATTTTACGAATACATTAAATATTTTGGGTTATAGATAAATTAAACTTGTTCAATTTGTATTTCCCATTACACATTCCGTCCATTCGAATTTTTTCCAATTATTATTTTTTTTTTTTTGAATCCTGTGGTTTTCGTTGTTAATCTAATTTAGGTAAAATATCACGTCCAATAAATAATTCGAATATTTTTTACGTGTATTAATTAATTTAGGTGGTGGTAAAAATATTATAGTATATTATAGTATAGTGGAGAAAGGGAGAGGAATATGGATTAAAAAAAAAAAACCCTGGGCCATTGCAAAATGTGTCTGGCCACTGAAAGGGTTAAGACATATTAATTGGATGAACATGTTGTATCGCGGACTG